TCAATTCAGAAAGAAAAAAAAATTGACATGGTAAAAGGCTTAAAAAATTGTATATACATATTCATCTCTCTCTCTCTCTCTCTCTCTCTCTATATATATATATATATATATATATATATATATATATATATATATATAATTATTTATTTTCAATTATAACATAAAAATTGTTATTCTATCACTAAAAAAATATAATTTTGTTTCAACACTTCTGGTGTCTTATCAAGTGATGGTGTTGAATGTAATCTTAAAGCCAAATGGCTATTTTTTTAAGTGATTTTTATAACATATTTATTATAATTTCTATATTATATAGCTCTCTCTCTGTATCGAGCACTATTTTAAGAATAGTATTTGTTGGTTATTGTAATTCTGTATACACAGCGGTCCTATACTTGAGTTATATATATATATATATATATATATATATATATATATATAGTCATTTAAGCTTTATCAAACGGAATCTTCAGTGTTTAATTAAAACCAGGTTACTCCAAACCGTGATCGCAACTCGACCGATTTGACTAACCGCGAGATTATAGGCTCAGTATAGGAAAAAACAATTTTTAACGCATTATATACGTGATAAAACCAATATCAATTGTCAGAGTGCTCTATTCCTTACGAAGAGCTTAGCATTATAGTAGGAGCAGCCGTCAAATACACTTTCTTCCAAAGTGCTCAATCGAAGGACGGGTGCACATATAGTCATCCACATCTATACTCATCGGAAAATCATTTGTCTGGACCTACCTGGATGATGACTTAAGACAGTCGAAAATTTTCACCTTGTACTTTTCTTCCGAAATGAACTTCAGAAAATTTCGGATGGAATTTCTTCTTTCTCCGAGAAGAATTATAAATTATTTAGAAAAAATCGATCCGTAAAATTAAGCGATGCAAAATGTCGATTGGGTTCAATAGCATTTGCCTTAAAGAACGTTTACTGTCGAAGTACACAATGTAAATATACATGTACTATAAAAAACCAACGATGCTGATGCCAGATGAAGTAATACCTAAGACAAGAAGAAAAAAAACTCAAGGAAAGAAAAATGAAAGAATTATGACCATGAAATTAACAGCTACGTACACAGCAAATTTTAAAGTTTCACGCTCTTGCTATCTTCATATGTCCTAATGAAGATTCGAGGGTTGAACATTCAGAAAGAACTCAAGAAACCGTTTAAATATATATAAATATATATGGAGAGAGATATACATATATATATGTGTGTATATGTGAGTGTGTGTTTATCTATATATCTATATCTATATCCATATATATGTGTGTGTGTGTATCTATATATCTATATCTATATCCACATATATATATAAATATAAATACACACACACACATATATATATATATATATATATATATATATATATATATACACACACACATATATATATATATATATACACAACGAACAGTTCAGTCGTTCTCAAGTATCACACTCATTTCTTCTTCATCATTAGAACTTATGAAGATAACAAGAGCGTGAAACTTTATACTTGAATCGAGTTTTTGCGTTCTATATATATATATATATATATATATATATATATATATATATATATATATATAGATAGAGAGAGAGAGAGAGACAGACAGACAGAGGCAGACAGACAGGCAGACAAAGAAATGTTGTTTTGTTGAAAATTTTCTACTACTTCTTTTTTCATCTTTTTCTTTTTTTTTTCTTTTTCATCTTCTTCTACTGTTGTTTTGGCTTCTTCTTCATTTTCTTCTTCTATTTCTTCTTCTTCTACTGCTGATTGACTTCTTCTTCTTCGTGCTATTTTTCTTCTTAATCTACTTCGTCTCTGTATTTTTCTCCTTCTTCTTCCTTGTTGTTTATTCTACTACTACTACTACTACTACTACAAGTCCTTTTCATCTCCTTCTTCGTCTTCTTCTTCGTCTTCTTCTTGTTCGCTTTCTTCTTCGACTTGTATCTACTTCTCCTACTTCTTCTTATACTACTACTTCTTCTTTCTAGTCTTCGTCTTCTTCTTCTTCTTCTTCTCCTTCTTCTTCTTCCTCTTCTTCTTCTTCTTCTTCTCCTTCTTCTTCTTCAACGACTAATCTTCTTTTTAGTCTTCTTATTTTTCTTCGTCTTTTACTTCGTCTTCTCCTTCTTTTTCCTACCCTCCTTCTCCTTTGTCTTCTTTCACTCCTCATCCCCACCTCCTTCTTCTTATTATTATTATTTATTTTGGTTTTTGTTTAATAGAGTCTCTCGCTTGGTTATTAACAAGTTCAGATGAAGTAATACCTAAGACAAGAAGTGTATATATATATATATATATTGAGTAGCGAATCGAGTGTTAATTTTTAATTTTTAATTTAATTAATTTTTACGGATCGATTTTTTCTAAATAATTTATAATTCTTCTCGGAGAAAGAAGAAATTCCATCCGAAATTTTCTGAAGTGAGTAACTTGTATTTATAGATTCATGTTAAATAATGCTTAACATATGCAGCCTTTATATTTCCCTTATATCATGAGCAGATAAACACTTCCGTGGAGAGCAGTTGTTTTTTTTTCCTTTTTCTTTTTCTTTTAGTCTCATGTAAACCTTGTCTAGCAGGCATTTTCTTAACGTTCCTGCCCGTTCATTTCTTTCCTATCCAAGACTCCACATTATTGGTAGAACTGTAGATTTAAGGTGTTGCATCTTTTCAGTTTTCTGTTTCAAGTGTCTTATCTTTACTCATTTCGCTAAATTCTTTAAGCGATATATTTTTACTTAATGCCATTGCTATATCTATGAGAAAGCGTTTTTGTTTGTTTAGAGGTTTTAATCACAATATCTATTCGATTAACTTTTATATGCATGTTATATGACTGGTTCAGGGGGAATTTCCTAATAATTTTCAACATATTTGATATCGGTATACATTTCAATGAATATATATAATGTCCAATCTTATCATGTAGAGTTTTGTATTCAAACAAACTGAACAACTAGATAATATGTGAGCATACTTTTTTGAATAGAAAAAGTGTAAAAACTCTCTATGTGTTATGGCCCGAAGCGCTTCCAGCTAATCTTTTAGCCATTATCAAGGATTACTTTATACACACACACATACAAACACTCGCGCATATATATATATATATATATATATATATATATATATATATATATATATATATATATATATATATATATATATATATATATATATATATATATATATATACGGTTTAGTGGTTTAGTGGTAGAATCCCCGATGGACGTCAGTTCAGTCAAGTTTCGATCCTTGCTAGAGGCAACCGGACGTCTAGCCACATGATGAGCTGTGATATGGCAAAACAGTCTGTCTGTGGATGACAATATATATATATATATATATATATATATATATATATATATATATATATATATATATATATATGAAAAATCATATACACTCTCCGCCATGAAGCACTCTCGATAAGATATTCAAGAAAGTAAAATCAGTCAGAGTTGCACCGAGAACTGAAAACAAATAAAAAAAGCCACAAAATCCGTCAGATATTCTGAAAGATAACATTAAAGTCAGTATCAACTCCTATAAAATATTAATACCCCAAGTTACACATCACACTAGGTAGTTTTTCATAGTAAGTCTACGAATTGTATGTAGTTGACTGAATGGCCGTCTGCGTTAAACGAAGGTTTGGTCAGTGTTTAGACTTAGTGTATCAGCAGTTGGACGCGATGGGAACCGTAGCGTTACTAAAATACTGAATTTGTGTTGCTATTTTATTATTTTATATTAATTTCTGTGTTAATAATTCAAATATATTCTCCAAGCACAAATTTTAGTGATGTACAGCAATTGTTAGGAGTCCCATTTTTTTACAACTCGATGGTAAAGGTGTTGGGGCGCACCCACCTTCTGACTGATAATGGACTTATCCCTCTACGATATAAGTCAGTGCTAGAGAGAGTAGTTGTTTTGTGTGAAGGATCAGGTTCAGCGACAGCAGTCGAGATCAGGTTGCCATTACATACCGTTGGACTGTAGACTTTTGCTATTGTTACTTACTAACCGGCGTTCCTTATTACTAATTACTCTGTTGTTAATTACCTCTTACAAATATACCAGTATTTATCCCTACAACTGTGTTTGTCTTTATTCGAATACACCCACGCGGGAACACCCCTAACAACTCAACAAAGGTTAGCATTTTAAACCCGCCATATAAATAGACAGTTAATATTGTAAAAAAAATTATAAGCTTGAAAATTCGACTTCTACTTCATTATTGGTCGATAGAAAAATTGAATGATGTGAAGTGCAACAGACAAAAATTAAAACCCATAAGAATAGAAACAGATGCCTTCCGGGTTTTGAAGTAAGATTTAAAGTGAAAATATGTTTAGAAAAACAACAAAAAAAATGCCATGTCATAGCTAATTGCATATCTGGCGATGAATACTGAAATAAAAAAAACCCTTCGTTGACGAAGAAGATAAAACTCTTCACGTAACAGAGACGTGGTTCCGCCGACGAAAATTCCGAATAACCTGGACCTAATATGCGAGTAACGGGGAAGTTTTTACGAAAACAGATACGTCAAGAAATAATAATAATAATAATAATAATAATAATTTCCCTTGTTTCACTGTCCGTTCACTCTTTGATGTTGTCCGGCCAGCATTTTGCGTCGCCGTCTCCGTTTGCGCCCGCCTTCAGCAGAGTGCCTTGCATGATGCTCTTGCAGAGGATGTTATGCCGTGTGACGTGGCCAAACCGTGGTATCTAACGACGCTTAATAGTGGCGAGGAAACATTGGTGTCGGCCCGCTAGACTCTTGATCTTGCTCCGTAGTCATTGGTTTTCTTCTCCCAGTTGGAGATGCGAGGTGCTTTTGTTTTTGTACGCCTGGACCCTTTCTTTCTGCATCAACAGAGACAATCCACGTCTCACACATGTAGAACAGGATTGTTATAATCAGCGATTTCTATGGATACTAATGGGATGGACGCGATTGGTATGGATGCTGATGGTATCGAGGCGACTGGTATGGATGCTGCTGGTATGGATGCGATTGGTATGGATAATGATGATATGGACGTGATTGGTATTGATGCTAATAGTAAGGATGCGATTGGTATGAATGCTGAAGGTATGGATATGATTGGAATTGATACTAATGGCATGGATGCGATTGGTATGGATGCTAATGGTATGGATGTGATTGGTATGGATGCTGACGGTATGGATGCGATTAGTATGGATGCTGACGGTATGGACGCGATTGGTATGGATGCTGATGGTATGGATGCGATTGGTATTGATGTTGACGGTATGGACGCGATTGGTATGGATGCTGATGATATGGATGCGATTGGTATGGACGATAATGTTATGGATGCGATTCCTATGGTTGCTGCTGGTATGGATGCGATTGGTATGGATAATGTTGGTATGGACGCGATTGTTATTGATGCTAATAGTAAGGATGCGATTGGTATGAATGCTGAAGGTATGGATATGATCGGAATTGATACTAATGGCATGGATGCGGTTGGTATTGATGTTAATGCTATGGATGCGATTGGTATGGATGCTGATGGTATGGATGCGATCGGTATTGATGTTAATGGTATGGATGCAATTGGTATTGATGTTAATGATATGGATGCGATTAGTATTGATGTTGATGGTATGGATACGATTGGTATGGATACTGATGCAGCAGATTCCCGCGTTGCAGCTGCCATCTTTTGGCAAGGTTGCTTCCAAGTATTTAAAGCTGGACACTTCGTCCAGTGGTTCGTCGTCTACGGTGACGTTGGCACTGTTGTTGCTTGTGCAATTCACCATTACTTTGGATTTCTCTTTGATTAATTCCATTCCATATATGCCGATTCTTTCAACGACTTTGTTGGTCATGTCTTACCCCATACTGATATTGACGTCCATAAGATCAATTCTATAATTCTAGCATCGCTCGAGATTACCATATATATATATATATATATATATATATATATATATATATTGGATAGGGGTATCTCTAGTGAATTGGTCCACTCTTTTGACCATTTTTTTTATGTTCCAAAATCCGTTGCCATAAAATTTGACTGTTTCACCTCCATTTTTCACCAGTTTAAAAGTAACAGATAGGTTCGCCTATCGTCCTGTTCACATTTCGTCCTGGTTTTTTGAACAGAAGTAGAAGTTTATCCCTTATTTTCTGTTTAGGAATGGCTTTCTGGTTCCTTTTAAAGTCTTCTCATTCACTCCCACTACTCCCTTGCGCCTTAGTGGTATTATCGCCTTACTTGGGGTGAACTAATTTAAAAAAAACTGTTCAGAGGGTACATTGTCAACTCCATGTTTTAGATTCCTTAAATCTGCTTCTAGCCTTCATCAGGAAAGAATACCTCACTCACTGAACATAATTAAGAAAAAAATGTATTTTGGTTAAAAAAAGACTGGAAGTTGTGGAGAGTCATAATCAATCTACATTTTAATTGTTCCATGTCTCAGTCTGCAAACAATGCGAACCAAATCCCTGCAGCGTATTCGAGATTGAAAGACAATGGCACTGGAACTAATAGACTGCAAGTTGCCTGAAGAAAAACGAGCGACACTGTCGAAAGGTGAGTACAAGCAGTGATTCGAGGTTATCGTGTCGAAGAAGCCCAGTTACATTAGAAAGCAGATGTATCGCCATGGCAGACGTTTGCATGCTGACACTGAGGTCATCCTCACCGGAAGTGTATTTAGTAATTATGTCTGCCGGCCGGCCTTCCTCAGCTGGGAGAAGAAATTAAGAGACGGGTGTCGGGAGGTGATATAAAACGCTGCAGGTTCAGAGGTAATTTGCTGTCCAAACAGATGTAAAATGGCGGCGAAAATCTGACTTGGAAGGCGGGAAAATTTTAACTGTCCTATAACGGTAATGGACGGTCTGTCGGAATCTATAGAGTCGCTTGTTTTTGATTCGACCTTCAATTACCTCATTCATCTATTTATTGTTTAATTAATTATTAAGTAAATTTTCTTGTCAGAGTTCATTTTGCATATGTATAAATCTACCATTCGTCCGTGCATTGAATACTGCTTCCATATCTGGTCTTGTTGGTCTGTTCATCTCGACGTTCTTGACAAAATCCAAAATGTATCTGTAATATAATCGATCTTGACTAGCAACCTCGATTTCAGTCACTTTCTCACTGACGTGACGTGACGTGGCTTCCCTCTGTCTTTTCTACAAATATTTTCATGGCAACTGCTCTGATCTACTTATCCCCTCGTTCCCCGAATACATAACATTAAGCGTGCTACTTGATTGGCATCTAGGTCCCACCATTTTACTGTTGAACTAGCTAATTGCAACCCCCAATTCTACTCCAATAGTTTCTTTTCTCGCACTCCCCACCTGTGGTACTGTCTTCTGTTTAATTGCTTCTTTGATAACTGCAATCTCCAAAAGGTTAAATGTAACGACACTCGCCATCTTATTTCTCTTCTTTTTCTCGTTTTTTAAGATTTTCTGTAGACTTCCTTTCTTCTGATGCTTACCATTTATTCCGTAATTTTTAATCTTTACCATTTAAACACTTTCCACATCCGTAACATTTAATCCTTACATTTTCGTTATTGCCATTAAATCCTTACATCTTCATCCATACTATTTAATACTTACTGCCTCATCCTAATCATTTAATCCTTACAATGTCATCCTTACTATTTAGTACTTACTTTCACATCTATCAAATTTATTCCTTACTTACACATTCTTACCATTCAATCATTACTTGCACATCCTTACCATGTAATCCTTACATTCACATCCTTACCATTCAATCCTTACTTTCGCATCCTTACTATTTATTCTTTACTTTCACATGCTTACTTGTCAATTGTCACATTCACATCCTTACCATTCAATCCTTATTTTCCCATCCTTACCATTCAATCCTTATTTTCCCATCCTTACCATTCAATCCTTACTTTCGCATCCTTACTATCTATTCTTTACTTTCACATGCTTACTTGTCAATCGTCACATTCACATCCTTACCATTCAATCCTTATTTTCCCATCCTTACCATTCAATCCTTATTTTCCCATCCTTACCATTCAATCCTTACTTTCGCATCCTTACTATCTATTCTTTACTTTCACATGCTTACTTGTCCATCGTCACATTCACATCCTTACCATTCAATCATTATTTTCCCATCCTTACCATTCAATCCTTATTTTCCCATCCTTACCATTCAATCCTTACTTTCGCATCCTTACTATCTATTCTTTTACTTTCACATGCTTACTTGTCAATCGTCATTCACATCCTTATCATTCAATCCTTATTTTCCCATCCTTACCATTCAATCCTTACTTTTCGCATCCTTACTATCTATTCTTTACTTTCACATGCTTACTTGTCCATCGTCACATTCACATCCTTACCATTCAATCATTATTTTCCCCATCCTTACCATTCAATCCTTATTTTCCCATCCTTACCATTCAATCCTTACTTTCGCATCCTTACTATCTATTCTTTACTTTCACATGCTTACTTGTCAATCGTCACATTCACATCCTTACCATTCAATCTTTATTTTCCCATCCTTACCATTCAATCCTTATTTTCCCATCCTTACCATTCAATCCTTATTTTCCCATCCTTACCATTCAATCCTTACTTTCACATGCTTACTTGTCAATCGTCACATTCACATCCTTACCATTCAATCCTTATTTTCCCATCCTTACAATTCAATCCTTATTTTCCCATCCTTACCATTCAATCCTTACTTTCGCATCCTTACTATCTATTCTTTACTTTCACATGCTTACTTGTCCATCGTCACATTCACATCCTTACCATTCAATCATTATTTTCCCATCCTTACCATTCAATCCTTATTTTCCCATCCTTACCATTCAATCCTTACTTTCGCATCCTTACTATCTATTCTTTACTTTCACATGCTTACTTGTCAATCGTCACATTCACATCCTTATCATTCAATCCTTATTTTCCCATCCTTACCATTCAATCCTTATTTTCCCATCCTTACCATTCAATCCTTACTTTCGCATCCTTACTATCTATTCTTTACTTTCACATGCTTACGTGTCAATCGTCACATTCACATCCTTACCATTCAATCCTTATTTCCCATCCATACCATTCAATCCTTATCTTCCCATCCTTACCATTCAATCCTTACTTTCGCATCCTTACTATCTATTCTTTACTTTCACATGCTTACTTGTTAATCGTCACATTCACATCCTTACCATTCAATCCTTATTTTCCCATCCATACCATTCAATCCTTATTTTCCCATCCTTACCATTCAATCCTTACTTTCGCATCCTTACTATCTATTCTTTACTTTCACATGCTTACTTGTCAATCGTCACATTCACATCCTTACAATTCAATCCTTATTTTCCCATCCATACCATTCAATCCTTATTTTCCCATCCTTACCATTCAATCCTTACTTTCGCATCCTTACTATCTATTCTTTACTTTCACATGCTTACTTGTCAATCGTCACATTCACATCCTTACCATTCAATCCTTACTTTCGCATCCTTACTAGTATTCTTTACTTTCACATGCTTACTTGTCAATCGTCACATTCACATCCTTATCATTCAATCCTTATTTTCCCATCCTTACCATTCAATCCTTATTTTCCCATCCTTACCATTCAATCCTTACTTTCGCATCCTTACTATCTATTCTTTACTTTCACATGCTTACGTGTCAATCGTCACATTCACATCCTTACCATTCAATCCTTATTTCCCATCCATACCATTCAATCCTTATCTTCCCATCCTTACCATTCAATCCTTACTTTCGCATCCTTACTATCTATTCTTTACTTTCACATGCTTACTTGTCAATCGTCACATTCAACATCCTTACCATTCAATCATTATTTTTCCATCCACGTACCATTCAATCCTTATTTTCCATCCTTACCATTCAATCCTTACTTTCGCATCCTTACTATCTATTCTTTACTTTCACATGCTTACTTGTCAATCGTCACATTCACATCCTTATCATTCAATCCTTATTTTCCCATCCTTACCATTCAATCCTTATCTTCCCATCCTTACCATTCAATCCTTTACTTTCGCATCCTTACTATCTATTCTTTGCTTTCACATGCTTACTTGTCAATCGTCACATTCACATCCTTACCATTCAATCCTTATTTTCCCATCCATACCATTCATTCTTATTTTCCCATCCTTGCCATTCAATCCTTTTTCGCATCCTTACTATCTATTCTTTTACTTTCACATGCTTACTTGTCAATCGTCACATTCACATCCTTACAATTCAATCCTTATTTTCCCATCCATACCATTCAATCCTTTATTTTCCCATCCTTACATTCAATCCTTACTTTCGCATCCTTACTATCTATTCTTTACTTTCACATCCTTACTTGTCAATCGTCACATTCACATCCTTATCATTCAATCCTTATTTTCCCATCCTTACCATTCAATCATTATTTTCCCATCCTTACCATTCAATCCTTACTTTCGCATCCTTACTATCTATTCTTTACTTTCACATGCTTACGTGTCAATCGTCACATTCACATCCTTACCATTCAATCCTTATTTCCCATCCATACCATTCAATCCTTATCTTCCCATCCTTACCATTCAATCCTTACTTCGCATCCTTACTATCTATTCTTTACTTTCACATGCTTACATTTGTTAATCGTCACATTCACATCCTTACCATTCAATCCTTATTTTCCCATCCATACCATTCAATCCTTATTTTCCCATCCTTACCATTCAATCCTTACTTTCGCATCCTTACTATCTATTCTTTACTTTCACATGCTTACTTGTCAATCGTCACATTCACATCCTTACAATTCAATCCTTATTTTCCCATCCATACCATTCAATCCTTATTTTCTCATCCTTACCATTCAATCCTTACTTTCGCATCCTTACTATCTATTCTTTACTTTCACATGCTTACTTGTCAATCGTCACATTCACATCCTTACCATTCAATCCTTATTTTCCCATCCATACCATTCAATCCTTATTTTTCCCATCCTTACCATTCAATCCTTTACTTTCGCATCCTTACTATCTATTCTTTACTTTTTTACATGCTTACTTGTCCATCGTCACATTCACATCCTTACCATTCAATCCTTATTTTCCCATCCTTACCATTCAATCCTTACTTTCGCATCCTTACTATCTATTCTTTACTTTCACATGCTTACTTGTCAATCGTCACATTCACATCCTTATCATTTCAATCCTTATTTTCCCATCCTTACCATTCAATCCTTATTTTTTCCATCCCACCATTCAATCCTTACTTTCGCATCCTTACTATCTATTCTTTACTTTCACATGCTTACGTGTCAATCGTCACATTCACATCCTTACCATTCAATCCTTATTTCCCCATCCATACCATTCAATCCTTATCTTCCATCCTTACCATTCAATCCTTACTTTCGCATCCTTACTATCTATTCTTTACTTTCACATGCTTACTTGTTAATCGTCACATTCACATCCTTACCATTCAATCCTTATTTTCCCATCCATACCATTCAATCCTTATTTTCCCATCCTTACCATTCAATCCTTACTTTCGCATCCTTACTATCTATTCTTTTTACTTTCACATGCTTACTTGTCAATCGTCACATTCACATCCTTACCATTCAATCCTTATTTTCCCATCCATACCATTCAATCCTTATTTTCCCATCCTTACCATTCAATCCTTACTTTCGCATCCTTACTATCTATTCTTTACTTTCACATGCTTACTTGTCAATCGTCACATTCACATCCTTACCATTCGATCCTTATTTTCCCATCCTTACCATTCAATCCTTACTTTCGCATCCTTACTATCTATTCTTTACTTTCACATGCTTACTTGTCAATCGTCACATTCACATCCTTACCATTCAATCCTTATTTTCCCATCCATACCATTCAATCCTTATTTTCCCATCCTTACCATTCAATCCTTACTTTCGCATCCTTACTATCTATTCTTTACTTTCACATGCTTACTTGTCAATCGTCACATTCACATCCTTACCATTCAATCCTTATTTTTCCCATCCATACCATTCAATCATTATTTTCCCATCCTTACCATTCAATCCTTACTTTTCGCATCCTTACTATCTATTCTTTACTTTCACATGCTTACTTGTCAATCGTCACATTCACATCCTACCATTCAATCCTTATTTTCCCATCCATACCATTCAATCCTTATTTTCCCCATCCTTACCATTCAATCCTTACTTTCGCATCCTTACTATCTATTCTTTACTTTCACATGCTTACTTGTCAATCGTCACATTCATCCTTACCATTCAATCCTTATTTTCCCCATCCATACCATTCAATCCTTATTTTCCCATCCTTACCATTCAATCCTTACTTTCGCATCCTTACTATCTATTCTTTACTTTCACATGCTTACTTGTCAATCGTCACATTCATCCTTACCATTCGATCCTTATTTTCCCATCCTTACCATTCAATCCTTACTTTCGCATCCTTACTATCTATTCTTTGCTTTCACATGCTTACTTGTCAATCGTCACATTCATCCTTACCATTCAATCCTTATTTTCCCATCCATACCATTCAATCCTTATTTTCCCATCCTTACCATTCAATCCTTACTTTCGCATCCTTACTATATATTCTTTACTTTCACATGCTTACTTGTCAATCGTCACATTCACATTCTTACCATTCAATCCTTCTTTTCACATCCATACCATTCAATCCTTATTTTCCCATCCTTACCATTCAATCCTTACTTTCGCATCCTTACTATCTATTCTTTACTTTCACATGCTTACTTGTCAATCGTCACATTCACATCCTTAACATTCAATCCTTATTTTCCCATCCTTACCATTCAATCCTTATTTTCCCATCCTTACCATTCAATCCTTACTTTCGCATCCTTACTATCTATTCTTTACTTTCACATGCTTACTTGTCGATCGTCTCATTCACATCCTTACCATTCAATCCTTATTTTCTCATCCATACCATTCAATCCTTATTTTCCCATCCTTACCATTCAATCCTTACTTTCGCATCCTTACTATCTATTCTTTACTTTCACATGCTTACTTTTCAATCGTCACATTCACATCCTTACCATTCAATCATTATTTTCCCATCCTTACCATTCAATCCTTATTTTCCCATCCTTACCATTCAATCCTTACTTTCGCATCCTTACTATTTATTCTTTACTTTCACATGCTTACTTGTCAATCGTCACATTCACATCCTTACCATTCAATCCTTACGAGCCAATCCTTACTTTCAAATCCTTATCATTTATTCCTTACTTTCACATCCTTACTAGTCAATCCTTACTTTCGCATACCATTCAATCCTTATTTTCACATCCTTACCATTTAATCCTTACTTTTGCATCCTTATCATTCAATCGTTACTTTTACAGCCTTACCGTTCAATGCTTACTTTGACATCCTTACCATTCAATCCTTACTTTTGCATCCTTACCGTTCAATGCTTAATTTCACATCCTTACCATTCAATCCTTACTTTTGCATCCTTACTATCCAATCCTTACATTTCCCATACTTACCATTTAATCCTTACTTTCTCATCCTTACCATTTAATCCTTACCATTCTATTCTTACTTTCACATTCTTGCCATTTAATCCTAATTTTCTTATCCGCACCATTTAATCCTTACTTTCTCATCTTTACCATTCAATCTTTACATTCTCATCCATACCATTTAATCCTTACTGCCTCATCCTTACCATTTAATCCTTACTTTCGCATCCTTACCATTTAATACTTACTTTCTTATTCTTACCATTTAATCTTTACTTTCTTTTCCGTGCCATTTAATCATTACATTCTCATCCTTACCATGCAATCCTTACGTTCTCCTACTCCTATCAACATCTTGCTTTTTATTTTTGTCTTACATAATCGTTTCTGTTTTTACTCATCTTCCCTTCATTTTTTTCTCCTCATTCGTCTTCTTTTTTCGTTTATTCTTCCTCTTCACGTCTTCTTTCTATTCTCTTCTTCCTATGAACATCTTTTTTTTTATTTCGTCTTTTTCCTTCCATCCTGTATGTTTCTCTTCGTCTTTCTCCTTCTTAATCTTAATATATTTTTCATCTTATTTTTCTTTTGATATCTTCTTCTTCCCGCTTCTTCTTCTTCTTCTTCTTCTTCTTCTTCTTCTTCTTCTCGAGGATGTCCATCCGTTTTTTTCAAGCGGCTGTCCTTTCGCCGGCGACATTCTCCTTAAATTTACCTCCGTAACCCGTCAACATGGCGACCGTCTCTCGTCTGCTGCTATCAATTCGCATAGACTATTACTTTTGTAATTGCATCTTCTCTTCGGATCCAGAATCCTGGCGAGGGCGACCGAAGCAGTTAAGAATGGAATCGGATTGGGAGATTGGTTTACGGCAAATCGATGAGCGATGATCGATGTCAGAAGCGGAGATGAGATAGGCAGAATGTAAAAAGAAAAGGCGCGAAAAGGGAAAAAGAAACACTGGTCGCCATTAGGAACATTTCAAAAAAAAAAAAAAAAAAAAAAAAAGGGAAAAGAACAATGGAAACAAAAAGAAACGAAACATATCTTTAAAAAAAAATGGTTATTTTGTAAAGAAAATAAGATTGTAACAAATAAGAACCACGAAAAGTAGACGAACACATTATAGCAGTAAAATAAGGACACAAAACCGAACAGGCTTTTTCTCATGGTGAAATGGTTAACAAGGAAGCCAAATAAACTATTGTAATTAATCTAGACTTAATAGACCCCAAAATTCGTGTCCTTGTCTCAGTCTTTTTAAACATCTAAATTATGGATAATTACACTTTTATATTTTCATCATCATGAACGTGACCAAAGTAGATATTTTAAACCAAAAAAAACAAAAAAACAACAGGAACAAAAATGACACTTCGACACAGAATTAAAAAGAGACAGTTGAAATTTTTTGGATGCAATTTTATTTATTTATTTATTGTAGATAATATTTTTGTGATACAAGTTTTACTTTTTAACCCATAGCTGGGGTGAGAAGAGTATTTCTGCATATTTGTCATCCAGCACAACAACTACTATTACTGCTACTACTACTTATTTTTTTCTTCTTCTTCAATATATATATATTCTTCTTCCTACTTCTTTTTCTTGTTCTCCCTCTTCCTCCTGATTCTTCTTCTTCTTCTTCTTCTTCTTCTCCCACTCATCCTCCTGATTCTTCTTCTTCTACTTCTTCTACTTGTTGTTGTTGTTGTTCTTCTTCTTCTTCTTCTTCTTCTTCTTCTTCATCCACTCTTCCTCCTGATTCTTCTTCTTCTTCTTCTTCTTCTTCTTCTTCTTCTTCTTCATCCACTCTTCCTCCTGATTCTTCTTCTTCTTCTTCTTCTTCTTCTTCTTCTTCTTCCTGATTCTTCTTCTCTTCCTCCTGATTCTTCTTCTTCTTCTTCTTCCACTCTTCACCCTGATTCTTCTTCTTCCTCTTCTTCTTCTTCTTCTTCTTCTTCTTCTTCTTCTTCTTCTTCTTCTTCTTCTCTTCCTCTTTCTACTTCTC